TAATGGTAATGGCTAATACCGCAACCAAATATTGTTGTTGCCACCATCTCCTACATCATTTCATAAGATAAAAATTGAAAAAGGAATAACATGTAAGTTTTTCAAAGCACTGGATATCAGGTCAAAGCTTAATGCCATGAAAGCACTTGTGAAGCATTCATGAAATATAAGCCACAACCACAATTCAATATAACTTTTTGATTATAAATATTGTGTGCATGTGTTACACGCAGAGAGATGCCTAGGCAGGGATACTTGGTTTTTCCTTTCACAGATTTTTGTGAAAAGATACATTATTGAACTCAAGAAGTATTTTCAGCAATTGCTGTATTAAAAGTGATCACCTGACACCTCTTAGTATAATGACAAAATATAATTCATAGGAAGCCAATATATTAATTAAAAATCAACAAACCACCTCCCTCCACTCTTTAAAAAAAAAAAAAAAAAAAAGTGCAGAAGAAAGTGAAATAATAACCTACCTCTTTGCTGGAGGCTTGATTTTCCATTGAAGCAACTTATAATTTCCAAAGGTGTCAGGAAGGTGCACACGATGTTCAGCAAGCTGGGAAATTATACTCTGCAGGTATAACAAAAGATGAAGCAAACAGCTCTAATCTGATTTACATACACTTTCCAACATTTAAAGAAAAAAAAGGCATACTTACAATTGCAGTGTCATTAGAAATGTAGTTAGCCGATCCTAAAGGGAATATGGCCCATGTAATAAGCGAGCTATCTCCTTTGGATGTAACATTTAAAAGATGGACCTGAAACAATTTACCAACAATCATTGGCCTCCAAAAGTAAGATAAACATCCACTTCAAGAAACTTCATCAAACAGTAGTTTAAAGCATCAATCTTACACAGTTTGCAGAATATATATCCAGCACCGCCAAAACTTTCTAGATAGAAATACAGTATTTGTCTAACCTGAGAAGTATTAACATCTAACTCGTGAGCAATGAACTCTGTAAGTTCTGGGATATGGGGTTCCAAATTCGAGTAGTTGATGCTCAAAGACATATCAAATGTTATTTGACCAATTCGGAGTACCCCTGCATAATAAAGTAATGAGAAAAAATTATCAGAGCACAAATCAGAAGACAAGATATACATGGTTGAAGATGCAGTGCATAGGAGTGAATAAATATTTAGATAAGGAGCAAAATTTTGTCTTGCCACACGAATTGACAATAATAAACATGAAAAGACAATGACATGCTTTCAAACTATAGGACAGAATATGTCCCTTTCTTCTAACTTTGTATTTCCCAATTCACCAAACCTTATTGCATAGTGTCTTTTCTTCATTTTTAAATCTCTAAACAACATTTATTTGTATGCACATACACGTCTATGCAAAAATCCAACAAACCTAGTGCAATCTACCCAACCTCATGCACATGCCAGTATTTAATTTCAAGATGTTCTCCAAAAACTGACGTTACTTGCCCACTAGAATAAGGGGCCTTTCACCACCCACATGGAAAAAGAAAATTGTTTATTTATGCAAAGGATAAATAAAAAGGGCAAAGAGTTTACTCGCTGCAGCTGACTGTACCTGAAAGAGCATAATTTGAAGGTTCATTAGGAGGTAATTTTGCACTTGAGTTCTTTCCACTTGAAGGAACTTGTGGCAGAGTACCAGTTTCCTGCAGTCGTTCCCATAACTCAGAACAATTGGTCTTCCAAAAACCAATCTTTGAATGTTCACGATCATACATCACAAGAGTATTGCGAACAACAATCCCTGATACAAAATCATATATTTACAATTCATAACAAATTACTAAATATAACTGGTAAAATAACAAAAAAGTAGCTACACTATCCAACAAGAGTAACTGGCATAGCATGGTGAAAAAAAGTAAGAAACAAGTTCAGTAAAGATTGATACCTCCAAGGAGCGTAGTTGGATCCTTTCCATTTTGGAAAATCCCCAGACAATATGCACCACGAACCTTTGAATGCTTTAAAAACAAATAATTTAAAGGATAAACAGAAAACCCTTTATCAGTCATCATGTATCAAATGCCATCATCTCAACAAAGAACCCCTAAATCCCATCACACAGACTCCCTTTTGAAAAAGCATATATAAAAAATTATATTGATCAAGTTCAGCCCAGTTAAGATTTCTTTTCCTTCAAGAATAAGAATTACAAAGTTGACTACTTACCCGGAACAAGTAATTTTCTGGTGATAGCAACAGCTTTTGCCCATTGCCAAAAACCATCTCAACTGCTGGAAAGGTATTTGAGAGTTGAGAGGCATCACTGAATCAAAAATCAATTAACCATTAATCACACCATGGATAAGAATTCAATCTATATTATAAATTACTTTTGTAGTCTTTTATGCTACAAATAATACCTTGAAGCACCAGAAAAACAAATATCATGGTAATTAGGATCAGGACCATGGATTTGCTTTAAGGACTGAAGTTCAATCATAATCTGCACAAGAAAGGTACTCTGTCATAATAGTAAAGGAAAAATCAAAGTAAACAATAATAGCAAGAGTCTGCAAATTTAGTTTGGAAGAGAATATCTATAGAAACAAGGAACAGTGACACAAAGCATTGATAAGATCTACCACCACTGATCTCAATTTTTAAGCACCAAAACAAAATTCTTCTGTGGAAAAAGTAATATGAAAAAGCAAAAGTTTTTCAGTTCACGAAAAAGGAAAATTAATAACTAAATATGTAGAAGGCATTGGAATTCAACATTAAACGGTATCAACATCAGATCTCCCTATTTTTAACAGCACAGGTAGTTGCCAATAAGAAAAGCTTTTGAAACAACAACAAATAAATCATAGGCAATAGGGGGACATGAAGCAACAGCCAGAATGCATACAATGTGCTCACATTATTTCCTACTTCTCAAGGATTATACCATTAAGCATAAGAACAAACCCAAAACTTGATCAGTAAAATAACAAACAAAATTTGGTCAGTGCATCTACCACTATTGTATAATGTTCTTGGAAGTCAAAGAAACAGTTTTTTACCGCATCCTTAAAAGCCACAAATGCTGCTTCTGGCAGGTAAGCATATGTTGTGCCACTATCAAGAACAGTTCCATGCTTTCCATCAAAGACCCTTGGATTTAAAGGTAATGGCTTCCCAGCAACACGTATCGCCTTCAAATTAATATTGTAGTATGGACTGTTGCCATCCCGAAACTAAAGTAAATGTGTGAGATGTATCAAATGTATTTGTCAGGCAAGTGCATGATGGATTTTATCTATGAGATAAAACCTTTTTTAAGACATACCTGCGTACAGGGTCTGAATGAGCAAAGACCATGTTTGCTGGAGGAGATATATCACCAAGAACCATAGCACCCCCACCAATATCCATCCCACCATAACATAACGAGAATGAATCACTAATCACACCTTTCTCAACAAGTTGGTCAACAACACTGAGATCACCACGGCCCAATCCCATTATGCCATCAGCATGCTGAGTATAAAGGTCACCAGTTTCAACATTCTCACAGCCAAAAACAGCACGCTGAGGCACAAGTTCACTTTGATTGCCAAAGGATAAAATATCCTCACCAAGAACACCACTGCTTGAACTCATCTCAGCATACTGTCTCTCGTAAACACATTGTACCCTGTCATGGTCACAATTGCAGTCCAGATTGCATTTTACAGGTTGATACGTGCTTGATAAGTCAGGCTCGAATTTAGGATCCTAGGGAAAACAAACATCAACCCCCAGTTCAGTCAATTACATGACCAAAAGTTTCTAGCAAATTTGAACTCAATTACCTAGAAAACTACACATTAGGTATTCAGTATATAGCATAAACTATAACCAAAAAAAAAAAAAAATTGCACCATATACATTTCAACTCCTCTTAATAGAGCTACTATAGAGTAAACATAGCCGTTTACACGCCTAATTATATCAATAAACACCAAAGATTTGTTTCACATAAAGATGAAATTAAAAAATAACCTGATGCCTGCCGCACTGCTCGCAAGTAGCACAGGGGACATAGGTAACAGTACTTCCCGTATCAACAATAAGAGCGAACTGTTGAGGTGGCGTACCGATCCAGAGACGCGTAGTATAATACCTTCAACACCAAATCAAACCAAACTCAAACAAAAATTTACTTTGAAACAAGAGATCAAAGAAAAATATACATAAGTTAACATAAAATTCAAACCCGTTGAGAAGTAGATCGTCGTGGAGTCGCATGCGAGCGCTAGGGTGGGAATTGGAAGTGGATCTCTGAAGGTGACGACGAGAATTCGAGAAACTGCTTGTGAAGATATTAGGAGGGGAATGGTAGAGTGGCAATACCATGGCGGGATGGCTGCCACCGTGGAGGAGAGTGGCGGTTGAGGCAGCAGGATGTGATTGGAGGAGATACAAGAAGAGGAACATAGGGGTGAGAATAAGAGTAGGTGCCCAAGCCATTTGTGAGAACGGCCAGGGCGATTTGGAGATGAGAGAAAAGGATAGGGAGAGTGAGTGAGAATATGAAGATAGCTCTCAGACTCTGAGAATGATTCTCTCTTTCCTTCAAGAGAGTGAGAGAGGGAGGGAACTCGAGGGTTCAGAATGAATGAACATAAGTTTTTGTCACCTTCTTTCTAAAATAGCTCAATTTGCGCCTTTAAGGATATCTTTCTTAAAACGGAGACGTTTAAATTTTAAAGCGATTTACTTTTTCCTTTAAAATTTCTTTAATAGCCAAACGCATAATAATGAGGGCATTTTTCTAATTTTCTTGAAGAGAACGTTATCCTTGGTACCAATTATTTATTTAATTAAATCCTGATACGACCCTTCAACCCAAACGACAAAGACTCTCTAACTGACAGCTAATTCTATGAATAACATTTAGAATAATTTTGAATTTATTCTAGGATTAATTAGATAACTTTCGAAAATGAAAGGAAAAATATTTTGAGCTATCTTTTAAGTAATTGAATAATTTATTAATCGAAAAGTGGGGGACATATCAAAGAAACAAATTTGTTCTTTCCTAAAACAGCATTGTTGGCAATATAGCATGGCAACATTAGCCTTCTCAGCTTCCCATTCTACTGTAAATGCACTACCAATACAATGGATCATCTGAATGTCTTACATGTTTAACAGAATCTCCTATCAGTAATTTCAAGGCATTGGATAATATAAGCCTCAAAGTGAAAAGATAGAATGGGTATCATAGCACTAGGTGAACAAGTAAATTCTCTGCACATCCAATAAACTTTCCTACAAATCTTGCATTTGATTACTACATATATGGCTGGTGTGAAGACTGCAATCCACTACCCATATATCCGGCATAATTAGCTGGAGCTGCAGTGTATGAAGTTACATTAACCCTATCATCTTGGGGATAAAAATATAGTCTTTGATCAGTTGGTTGCTGAGCAAATGCAGGCTGGCCAGGAACTTGGTAATCATAAGGGTTTGGACCAGCCTGAGGATATCTCTCAGGCATTCCTCCATATGCTGCCCTGTCAGAGAAAACAGGTGGAACATGCCTACCAGGAGCTGCCTTGCCACCATGAGAACGATGTCCACGGTATCCTCCATTTGCTCTTTGTTTCTTGGAGTGTTGATGTTTACCAAAATCTCCACCCCTCTTCTTATCAGACTTCGACCTCTCCAGTTGAGCAACCCTTTTCTGAAGTGGATCAAGAGGATAGTCAGCTTCAAGTTTGTACTCTTTGACACAATTAACTACAGCTTTCAAAGCAGCAAGTTCCTGTGCATTTACATCAATCTGTATAGAAAAGAAAAATCTCATTTAGCGTTTAGTTACTGAGGAATTTCCAAGCATTACTCGGTCATTATGCTTCAATATGAAAATTAACCTGTGCACCAGTAGCTCCACCCGAACTCACGCCCTTTCCCTGCGAGTTTCTCCTTAAATCCTTTAAGTATGTCTTCAAGAGCGGAACAGGGGGAAAGCTTTCAGTAAGCTGGAAGGCATGAATGAAATGTACAGCATCAATCTGTTTCCCACTGTTAACCAAGGACTCAACAAGCCCTGCACAGAGAGTAAGACTAGGTGATTAGCAAATTTCACATCGCATTATTTCTCAAAGTATGGCAGAGTTACACCAAGCAGCACTGGATATTTCTCAGATTATTTAAGACTATTAAGTCCCAAAAGTGAGGAGAGACACCTTTTGGAAAATGGACGTCCATTCTCCAAACACCACAGGTTAGTTAATAAAAATAACACCAACCTGGAACTTTATGTGATAAACCAAGAGAACGGCAGAGCCCAGGTGCTTGCCTGCGGCGAGAAACTACAAGAACAAGCTTGCAGAGTTCTTCTTCATCAAACTCCGAAGCAATCCTAAAGGTTGCAAGAAGCTGTAAAAATGCCTCAGCTTCCAATGAATTTGCATTGGCAGCATCATTGCCTACACTAGCCAAATTAGGCTTCCACTCATCAGCAATTGCCTTAGCTTGCTGCTTGATTTCAGGGTTCAAAAGGTGATCAGCACCTGGGTCAGTTCTAGCCAATAAGGCAGCCATGGCTTCTATAAATATGATACAGGATTTGCGCATGCCCTGAAGAGCAGCATCCTTCTTATCCAATGGTTGGTCAGTTTCAGCGGGAGGGTAAAACCCTTCCAGTAAATCCAGCACCAAACGGGCTGGTTCCATTGCACTTTCAAGTGCAACAGAAAGTTCCTCACGAATGGCAAATAATTTTTTCTGATTCTCCATGGTAAAGTTCAGAAGTCCTTTTGTATCCATCTGCTTGCAGAATTGCATTATTTCTGGACGTGGCTTAACATCGCCTTTAGCATTTTCGCCAATCTCATGAGGGATGTACTTCCCAGGGGAATTTGTGTCACCAAGAGAGCTGCTTACCATACTGTCTTGATTGTCCCCAACATCAGCGGGGTCTAAAGATGTAGGTTGGTAATTTGCACGCGCCTCTGCAATGGCAGCAACAGCAGCATCTTTAAGCTCCTGCACGCGATCTATGAGATCTTGTTCTTTATCTGCAACAGTTGCCATTCTTTTTGCAACCAGCGCACGAATTTCAGATTCTTTCTTCTCATACTCCTTCTCCCTAGATTCCAGCTCTTCAGATTTTCTCTTCAACGTCATCTCAAGATTGCGAAAGTGTTCTTCAATCTCCTTCCACTGAATCTTGTTGTCAGATGCATTCTTGTGAGCTTCAAGTTCAAGATATATCTTACCTAGCTGTTCTATCATAGAGGACGGCGTATCATTTGCTAAAAGTTGCTCTGTATTGGCCATGGTTAAGTAAAGTTCCACTGCTTCAAGGGCAATTCTATACAAGTAATTGAAAATGTCAAGAAATCATAATTAGCAAACACAATAAGTAGCAAATCATATACAGATAACCTCCCCATCACAAGACAAAAAGCAAAACCCATTGGAATAAGAAATAAAAATGAAAATATACTCAACAAAATACAAAACATGATACATATCATAATTAATAAACACAATAAGTTGAAAATCATACCTCCATAATTTTCTTCACATATATTTTTTTATATATATCAGGACCAAAAAAGTTATATAATCAACAGTGCAAATGTTGATAAAAACTCAACCTTTTCCCTCATTACTTATGGTCAGAGTTACAAATAAATATCATAACAACGTTTTTTAGCTACAGGCCTCCACATCCAAATAAAAGTATTAAATTAAAATTTATTTCTTTACCTTCAAAGTCCTCCAATATGTTCAACATTTTGAGTTATGACTACATGGAAGAAAAAGCAAAAGAAGGTAAAAAGAACTCTTAACTGGATTTCTCTCTTTTTGTTCCTACTTCGCAGTTGTCAATTGTCTTAGTTCAGAACAGGTAAACCAAACTCCAGCGGCATAATCAAGATTTGATTAAAAGCCTCAAACACACTTCTAATGTACTCAACCAACGTGGAAAGTAGAATATTAACCATAATGCATTCACTTAAGGGTCTTATAAATTTTTTTAAAATTAAAAGAAGAAAAAAGGAAAATCAAATGCCCCTGCAGAGTTGCCGGGCACCTAAAATCACATTACCAAAAATATAAAGTAATAACATGACAAAAACTTATAACAATTGGAGGGAAAATGAAGTGACCCGAAAGAAATGCATTTCTCACCCTACTACTAATCTACAACTATTTCGCTTCACCATTTCATCAGATACTAGACAAACAAAAATATATATAAAAAAAATCCTCTAATAATAACGCCAAACAATGCTATAGGGAGAAAAAAAATACAAAAGAAAGAAATATAAATTTACAGCAAAATTAATCCTGCAAGATAATCTGCTTTCAATTCTCATAGCAACTAAAATTTTATAAAGGCAAGAGAAAACGAAACTGAAAAAGAGAAAAAGGTTATAAACCCTAAAAGCGGAAAAAAAAATAAAAAAATAAGAAAGCAAACGTTTAGCTTACCTTTACAAGTGCAACGTTAATGTTCGTAGAGATTGTGACGCTGAAGAATGGAAATAGATAGAAGACAAGGAGATGGATGTACTAACAATAAATAAAATAAGTAATAATAATTATTTTGGAAAAAAAGGTAATGGTCAGTGAAGCTTCTCGTGTTGTGGTCAGAGTATGAACCCTAATGCCCAAATTCGAGGGTTTTTGAAAAATAATAATAGATAAAAAGAAAATAAGTTTATATTCGTTATATAAGGCCTTATCGTTTGAGTTATCGGGTCGGGCTATTATTTTGTGAAGATTTTCTTCTTTATTCTTAAATTGTGAAAATGATAAATAAAGAATAAAATATTAGGAATTTAACCAAAATCTCTCTTAAAATTTCTAAAAATTTCATCGGAAAGTTTATTTTTAAGTGGTATAAAGTACACTACTAAAAGATATTTGTATAATTTAACATTTCCATTACAAATTGAAAAGTAAAATTTTCTCCAAATTTAAAGGAAAATAACTCGTAATAGTCAAGAATGCAATCAAACAACTTTGAAGGGGAAAAAAGGAAATGTTGCTTTAAATAGAAGGCTCTTGTTATTCACGTTAAAGAAATCTCTGAAACTGAAACTGTAACTTCAGCTTGTTCCAGAAGAACTGCAGTACAAAACCATCGTATTGTTTCAGGATTTCCCTTCAGAAAGTAGTAATCTATTCCATTAGATGTCCTCCATTGAGGAGTGCACGAATATTACGGTGGTCATCAAAACGGAATTGATTCTTGATGAGCAAACAATGCTGAAATCCACTAGCATAAGATTTGATTGCCCACTAGGCCACTACACAAAAGGCGAACATACAATTACATAGGCAAGGTAGAGAGAAATGAACGAAGGGCACAAGACAACTGATCAAAATCAGTTGATTCAAATGGCATTAAAAGTTGATTACATAAGAGATTGTACAAATTTTTCCCTTTTTTTTCTTTTCTTGTACATAACAGAAAAGGTTCCAAAGATACTTTCAAATTCGAGTGTTACAATATCCAACTACATAGTTATGCCACATAAGTATCAAGAGCACGTTCAGTTTGTTTCTGTCCATAGTATACAACAGAATATAGTTAAGTTGTATAATTACAGAAACAACTATTCTATGTTGTTTCAAACTGCATGGAGACACAATAGCCATTTACTTAAAACTTTGTACACAACTAGCCTAAGAAGAATGCAAAAGGCTTCAATGGCTAATCTTACATAAGGGAAAAAGGATTCTCTGAAATGCAATTAGAGAACCTCCACCAAGTTGTAGGTTAAATATACTTCATAATCCAGCTATGCCATTGGCATGCGCATTGAAGATTAATTACTCAATTCCCTGTATCTGTTTGGATTGAGAACGCCAACTACAGAATGTAATGCCCCGGGAGACAAGGTAAATTATAAAAGCCACATATGCGCCTGTAAAAGCGCATACTACTGTAGCAAATATCACATTATTCACTTCAGAGGAGAAAAAGTCCAGCAAAAGATAACCATTGATCACTATCACCAGGGCAGCCACAAGCCATGAGACCATCTGCAGAGGAAAAAAAAAAAGGAAAGTGTGAACCAATGATTAACATTCAATCGCTCACTTGGCAAACAAAATTACTGACAAAGCATCACAAAAAACAAGTTATTTATAGAAAAGAGTGTGTTTACGTAGTTCTAATCTACTACATAAGGGAAGGTGAATCCTAGAAATTGGGCAGCCTTCTCATCTCTTAAAAGGTAGAAGGAAGATCCTCGATCAAGCAGGATCTATCTTTAATAAAACAAAAAACTAGCAACAACAAAACATCTAGAAAGGAAGCAAATCAACCACTAATCATCTCATCAGCTTCCATTTTCCTTCCTTGTTTCTCTAGCAAGGTAAAAGTGGCAGAGAACAAAATTCTCTACAGCATGGATGAAAATTCATGATTCATAAATAGCTTAAAAACAGGGAAAGTGTAATTCCATCGGTCTTGCAATAATAAATACTTGACAAATATGAAATAGTATATCAGTAATTTGCGTTGAGAACTAAATACAATCACCAGGTTCAACAAACTACAAAGAGTATGTTTTAAGTTCCACAGAAACAAATGTCTCATTTACGACACCAATGGTGGAGTTTCGTATAAAGGAATGCCTATTAAAAGTTTTAGAAGCCCGAGGACGTATGCAGAGGTAAAGGGGTGGTAAATTCAGGTTAACCATCCATTTGATAAAAGATCAACTATAAGAACAAACACCTGACTCAGTCTAAATACACTGGCTAAATCACTAATAATAATACGGGTAGACAGAAGCAGATGTCATATCACATCCCTTGGTAATGTATATTGTCCTTTTCTAACACCAGCTCACAAATTACTAAGATGGGCATGTAGTTTTTATTGGAATGGTTTGATTATGCCAATGATGACAATGCATGCAACTCTGTTTCTACAGAAACAGATAGGTCAGATGTAAAAGTTTCTCAATGACTCTAATTAACAAAACAGATAGGTCCAGAAACCCAAACACAGTCTTCACAGGTCCTTGTATTAACAAGCATATAATACTAGGAGAACTAGTGTCAATGGCAAGACCCAATATGATTTCGAGATATCCATGTCCATAAAACTATTTAAATTATTTAAGATCTCAGAATATGAACTTAAGTTCAAATCAGGTGTTACACTAGACAAATGTATCTCAACTAAATAAATAAGGTGAAACCCTCTAAGAACAAAACACTCACAAGGCTGCAAATGTTAGAGCTTCTCAAAGCTAAAAATGACAATTGACACCATATCACAGTTAGTTAGCATTGACTTAATTTGTGATTAAGGGGTTTATTACACAGATGCAGGTCAAAGCAAAAAAAAATATACCTGAAGGACGGGGCCAATTTTAAAAACCCCCATGATATGCTCCTTTGACACCAAACACAAAAGTGGGATAAGAGCAAAAGGGATCTGAACTGACTGTAGCACATTCAACCATTCATTTAGATCGTCTAACATGTCTTCATTGGTATCAAAAACAAGAGCAACAATCATGGTTGGGACAATTGCACAGCTTCGTGTTATCAATGCCCTCAGCCATTTTTTCAACCTCAAGTTTAGGAAACCTCCCATGATAAACTGCCCAGCATAAGTACCGGTAATAGTGCTGCTCTGTCCAGCTGCTAATAATCCAATACCCCAGATGTATAAAATTGGGAAAAACCCACCTCCATACTTCTCTTGAAGGTACTGCCCTGCATTTACAAGACCAATACTACTGGCCTCTTCTGTACCATAAAACCCCTTTGCAAAAACAGTTGTAACAAATAGATTGATAATGAAGGAAACTACGAGGGCAATAGTAGACTCAATGGAATAGTATCTGAGTGCTTCTCGAACCCGTCCTTTCTTGTTGTGATCAACCTCTCTTGACTGTACAAGAGCAGAGTGCAAGAACACATTGTGAGGCATGATAATGCAACCCACAACTCCCACAGCCTGCTGTATTGTTTTAGAACTAAGTTTAGGAACCAAAAGGCCTGCAACAGATAAACCATTTAACCGTGATAAGTACACTTAAGCATGATGATTCCTATACGCAAATGAAAATACCAAAAATAAGAAATTCAGTTCACCAAATGAGAATTCCATACCAACAAGAAGTTCGGTGCCACTAGGCTTTGCATCACCAAACATCCAAGCAAATGAGAGTGCCATTGTTGCAATGAGAACAGCAAAAACAGCTTCCAATTTTCTCACACCATAGTTCTCAAGAAACAGAAATATGAAACTGCAAGAATAATGAAAGAAAGAAAAAAGTCAATATAGTTATGAAACATAATTTTAACAACAAAACTAAAAAAAAAAAAAAAAGAATGCTAGAAATTAAGAAATAATAACTCAAGAGTATCCGAATTCGTGGATTGTCAGGAAAAATATGAAATTTACCAATCAAGAGCAGTGATAATAACCCCCGACCAGAGAGGCAAAACCCCGTTACTTAAAATCTTGAGTGCAATCGCACTCCCAATAACCTCCTGAATATCCGCACCAATCAGTGCCAACTCAGCCATGACCCACAGCACCATGGCAGCCCACCTGGGGTACTCCTCACGACAGAGCTCAGCCAAGTGTCTTCCAGTGGCCACGCCGAGCCGAGCCGCCAATAACTGAACCAATAAGCCCATAGCCGTGGCCCACATGAGCAGCCACAACAGCGAGTAGCCGGCAATCGCGCCGGCCTGGAGATCTCCCTCCAAGTTTCCGGGATCGAGAAAAGCGATGCTCATCAAGAAGCCGGGACCAGTGAAAAGCCAGAGCTTCTTCCATGAAAACGGCGGCGTAGTGGCTAAGTCGTCAAGGTCAGCGTCGTCGATCCCGATGATTGCTACCTTGTCACTGGAATCATAGGCTCTTTCTTCTTCATCATCCGCTAAGAGCGGTTGTTCGTGTTCTTGCGAAGGCATTATTTTTGTGGGAGATTCTGTTACAGAGAATGAATTGATTAATTTTAAAAATAAAAACACACACTCAGATATGGTGGTTGTGGCTTCTTTATGGCCTTTGTTTAAGTTTATCGTTGAAGTAAAGCAACTGGGAATTTACTGGTCATGTCGCTCCCTTGAATTCTTTATCTTTGGGGATTAACCATTATATAATCTTGTTTGTCCTTTTTATTCCTAAATTTTGCGTTAGCGCACTACATGTGGGACTAGGGGTGGGTTGGTCATTTCGTTTAACTTTATCTCTGTCAATCTCTTTTCTTTTTCTTATACGGAAAATGTCACGTGTAAATAATAATTTAGGAAACGTTGTTAAGTTTAGATTTAAAAAAAAAAAAAAAAAAAAAAGAGATCGCTTAAATGTAAAATTGACTGTCAACTGCATTTTACGAGGTTTTTTATATGTTAAAATTTTTTATTATAAAGAATTTAATATTTTATTTTTTAAATATAAATTAAAAAATAAATTCGATTTCCTATTTTCAGATAATCAAATTTAACTTTTTTTCATAATTTTAATTGATAAATTATAAATTTTATTTATTAATTCTCTCTTATTAAATCTTTTTCTTGAAAAAATATTTTTTCTCTTCACAACTGTTTTTAAAATAAAGAGTAATTTTATATTTGAATAAAAATTTTATTTCTTATATTTATAAATTAATAAAGATATTCTCTTTAAAATAAAAAATACAATTGAATAAAGACAACACATTAATCGTCCTATATTAATAATTTACCCCTAAGTTTGTCCCAATGAAAAATGTCCCATCTGAGCTGATAGTGAAGTTACATTTGTAACCTTGCCCATTACGACTAGCGGCCCCCATTGAATAATCCGAGCCGCCCAAAACGGCCCCACCAACCAATACTTTTTACTTTTATTCGCCAATCCTCATTATTTTTCAAACATCATCTTGCGCTGCAGTTACTTGTTGTATTAGTATACTACATAAAGTAGATGTGGCAAAACGACGTGGCATCAACCATAAGTAAATGCCTTTTCTGCGGTGATTACGTAAGAGGAAAAAGCGAGGAAGGAAGCGTCAGATGCTGCCAAGTATGTGGGAGCAACGAATGAAGTAACGTCTTTGCCGTGGATGGCTCGTGGTTGCACGGGGCCACTGTGTTACCACTTGTGGCCTTGACGACAAAAGGCACTTCATAACTTCCCATATATTTTATAACTGCCTCATGACACTTCCCCACACACCCAAAATGGCACGTATAAATCACGCTCCAAAATTCCCATTTTGGGATTTGCTTCGTCGTTCTATTGGGGTCTTTTTTTTTATAAATAATATATATAGTAAAACATCTGTATAATAATAACTTTTATAGAAATAAATTATACATAGTCATAAAAAATTTTAATCCTAATTTATGATAATTATAAATAAGGATAAACTCTATATTATAATAAGTTATAATTTTTTTAATTTCCAACTTAAGGAAAATCACCTTCATATAGTAATAATTATCTATATATTATAAAAATATATATTTCATGTTACATTAAAGGTTTAAGATGAAATAAAATGTTTATCTAAAATTGTTTGAGATAATGATTTATGATTTTGAATTGTTATCACATCTTTTAATTTGTGAGTATGTAGTAACTCATTAACATGGACACTTTTTTATTAAAGTCAAAATATTTTTAGTTTCTCAAGTATATTTAGAGCTTCATAGCACGAAACTTTTTGCATTTCCATACTATCATTCTCAATATTATTTCCTTTCTCTTCTTATTAAATTGTAGCAATGATTTTTTCTTTAGTTAAAACATGCATGATTTATTACTTATTTGAATGATCGAATAAAATATTAATATCCATTCTATTAGTGCAATGAAGTTATCAAATCTGATCACTCAATTCTACAATGACTCTTTTATTCTCCTTATCCACTTCATTTGTAACTCGTAATTCATCGACATCGGAGTACCTAATTCTGCAGTGCTTGAAACCATTGACAATTGTCTATGATTTCACATCAATTGACCATACATCAACTGTATTTACAGTTCCATTAATGACACTTATTTTTGCTAGTTTCAAGACACGATCTTCTATCCGTTTCAAAAGTAGACAATTAAATTGCTGAATTGAAATCCTAATACTATTAAAATGTGAATTAAAATCCTAATATTATAATACTAAAACATGAATTATAAAATAAGAAATCAAAACAATAATTTTTGTAACTATACATTCATTAAGTTACAACTTTCTTATAGTAATAAAATTAGTTCATCTTACCGTTATGACTATAAAGATGTTTTAATGAAAAATATTACTTAAATATCATGATAATTAATAAGTATCTACCACTTGCAGATGAAATTATCTAATTTTTTATTTAACCCTATTTAATCTAATGGTTAAAAGAAGTAATTTAAGATATCGCTATTTTAATTCCAACTCGTTTAACAATTGAATTGAATTAGATGAAGTGTTATTAAATGATGTTAAAAATCATTTTAATTCATCGATATCTTGTCAATTATCACATCCCATATGAAAATGAAGTAATTCTAATCATAATTTACAATAAATTTATATTTTATCCTTTCACTATCAAAGATATATAAAACGGTGCGCTCCACTCTCCATATTACGACAATTAAGATATTTAAAGAGATTGGATCTGGATGAGCATCAAAAGCAGTGATCCTACTCATACCTTCAAAATCATAGTTGCAAAAAGAACGGTCCATTGCTTTGGAACTTAAAAGAATAAAAAAAAGAATGGTTGATAGCAGAGAATAAAAAGTCTTGATTTTATCTCTGCCTCTGTTTTCTCCATTCAGTCCATTGTGCTTTAATACGCACGTCCTACTATGTAATGTTGCACAAAAGTCCACAGATATTTGTCTGCCATGCCAACATTATTCAGAAATTTATAATATAATTCAGAATTTAAAATACATATGTTACAATTATAATTGTTAATTTATAAAATAATTTCCACAATAATACAAAGTTTTAATAATATCAAAATGCATACTGAAAATTATATAATTAAAATGTTAATGTAATTATAAATTTTGAACTTAGTTTAGTATTTTGTCAAACTTTAGCATGTTAAAAGAGACTACACATATCATTGTATTTTATACACAAATAGACAAAAATCATTATATTTTCAATGCATCGAAAGAGGTAAAGTTCTATCTTTTTCTACCCTTAACCTAATTTTGTCAAACTTTAGACTGAATTTGGTTGGTGTCCCTTTCTTTGTCCCTTAGCTGGATAAGAGGAATCATTATAGATGTATTGGCATTGATATTGCCGAGGATAAAGTTAAATATAGTTGTGTTTACATGATATACATTACAACATGTGAATGAGCTAGGAATATTTCTTTGACCGAAAATAATAGAGTCATAGAAGGTTATACATAAAATCTGTGCATCAAATAATAGAATAAAATCCTGATCGTTTATTAATATTAATTGATAATAAATTAATGGTTAAGATTTTATCATATTATTTGGTGTATAAATTTAGTATGCAACCTTTGATAGCTGTAACATTACACTTTCATGACACTGAAACATATTGTTTTGATATTCCTTTGCAGAGGAAAAATTCCAAATAACAGGCTGCTGAACATCTTTTTTTTTTTAATCATCTTTTTCTTGCTTGATGGTTTTTAAATATAAATAAAAGAACAAACCAAATTCCGTTCCTACAATCTTTGTTAATCACCTGCTTCATTGAATAGAACTTGAAGGTCGTCTTCCAAAATTACAGTTTAACTGCAAAAATAGAAATGTTAAAAAAAAAAAAAAAAAAATTATCAGCGTCATAAAATCCCAATAATAAGGAGGAGGGTAAGACCTCTAGTGTGAATGGTGGTGGTCCCTTTGAGTCCCTATGGCATGCAATGCGCCATCGTTTTCAAAGGATCTGTTTATGAGTTTTTTTTTTCATTAGTTTTGAGAGATTTTTAATTAGATTAGTTTTGAAGTGTTAAAAAAAACTATTATTTATCAGATTTTGTATATATGGTTTTGACTAACTCAAAAATCCCTCAGAATCAATATAGTGTATTTTTTAGGGATTTATAAAATACTATAAATTGGGATATTTTGGTTTGTTTTAAAATTTTATTCCACAAATACCATATCTATTACAAAACTATTCTAATTATATCAAAAAAAAAAAAATGTAACCATATTATACGCATCTTCAATCATATTAAATATAAAATAATTTTAAACAATCATAAAAAAAATATATTATTAAAATCTCATTTCTAGACGCTTTTTTGGAGAAGTGGAGCTACAATTTTTCAATCATTCCAAATGTTGCAAAGAATGGCAAATAATGATAAGAAGACTTTATCACATTTGAAGTTATAAAATATTAATAAGTAGAAAACAAATAAAGAACTCTTACCTTGAAATTAAAAAAACAAAACTCCTAATAATTGGTTGAAGTTGGGTACTTTTATGGACATATATATAAATTTAACATTTTAAAAACTTGTCAAAACTGTTTGAAAATAAACTCTTAAACACAAGTTTGGTGTTTTAAAAACATCTACTAAAAACATCTAAAAACTGCTAATGTGATTTACCTTCAAAATCACTACGATAATTTACCTTCATAAGTGCCCACGTTAAACTGCCAAGCAGATCCTGAGTAATTTAGCAGCTAAAATCGATGCAAATATGAGTGACGGTTAGCAAGAATGAATAATACTACACATACATCATTCCCATACAGTATTTCTCATATAATATTATGTGACAAGATATGATGGAGTGAAAGTTTAATTTTAACTTTAAATTAGCTAATCATATCTTACCACATAATATTGTATAAAAATGATATATGTATAGTATTACACTGGAAAGAATAATAGTTATCACTCATTACAGGAAGGAGGCACGGAGAAACCGAACGTTGAAATGTATTGGCATATTGGCCACATGTAGCTGCTCTATCAACCATAATTGATGTCCATTACGAGAAAACGACTTGGCACTTTGTTTACTTAAAGGCGCTGAAGATATGATTTACCTAATTTTTGTTTTCTCTTCAATTATAAATTAATTAGAAGGTGAAGGTGGGTGTGCCATCAATCAGATTTTATAAGGTTTGATGCCCATGCCACATTTTA